CCGATCGCCACCCAGTGCCGTTGCCTGAGCCGTCGCCTCAGAGCCACCCAGTGCCGTTTTCCTGGAGCCGTCGCCAGAGCTGCTGGCCACCGCGTCGCTGAATCCGCCGGCCAGAGTGACCGGCGCAACCCAGGTCCGCCGGCCCACGCAAACGTCGGAGCCGTCGCCGCCGCCGCAGCACAGTTCCGCCACCCAGAGTAGCTGGCCGAGCCACTGCAGGAGATTGCCGTCAGCTGCTACCATCCGGTGAGTCCGTTTCGGATGGGACGATAAAAGGGGCGGATTGCCTATTAGTTTCTTCCCAGGCAGCTGCCGCCGACCTGCCGGCTGAAATAAAAAAATAAATTTAGTTTGTTATTGTTAGCTGTAAGGTATTAGTGTGTTTGTCTCACCCTCCGGATTGATCGTATCCTGGGTCCGGGATTGGTGTAACCCATGCGCTGCAACCAATAGGGGAACGGGGAAGAAGCCATTAGTAAGCTCTCATTTTTTTTGAACGCCGACTCTAGGCTATTTCTCATGGAGCTCCAGCAGGGATAGTAGGGGAAAGTGAGGGAAAATTTGTTAGCCAATCGGCCAATTTGTGGCCGAAAAGCTTCTCCTCCGCCAACGTTGTTGGGCCCCCAATAAAAGGCAGCTTTGGCGCAAGCGCATCCCTGGCTGAGGCCACGTTCTCGCCGTGGACGAGTTGGCGCCTAAAGTAATATTTGTAAATTTGTTAAATTTAAGATGCAAAACAATAATAATCAATAGTCAGTAAAAGATTTAAATGAGCCGTTACAAAATGGCTCCCAAATCTAAAAAAATAAAAGAATAGCGACGTCTCGAAAGGCCACGTCCTAGGTCATTCAGCCCTCGCATTCGGTGGCTTGCGAGGCCTATATTACGGTCTGCAACTGCACCGAGGACCGGGGACTGGTGACCAAGGCGTAGGATATTCGTTGTTTTTATTTTTAATTAGTTTCCCAGTCAGAACGGGAGGCTTGGTCCGCAGAAAAATGTACAATTGCTCCAGGGCACAGTTCACCAAGGGTGCTGCGGTGGCATCCGGGCGTGGGAACGACGGATTCGCATCCCTTAGCCACAGACCGTGCATAAAGCACGAGTCAAGAACCACTGTGATATAAACTGTGATATATAGTAGATAGGGAAACAAGTGTTTATTTATATTAACGTAAAGTTTGTTTGTTTCAATGTTAATGTTAATGTTAAAGTAAATATTGTGCAGATCCTTGGGTTTTTCTGGTGGATGAGGCTTCCTGGGATCAGCTTGTTGGGGAAGTCGCGACCCGCAGGTCTCACTGCGCGCTGCGCGACCACCGCAATCTGAGCCTTGAAGTCCCAGGCATCAAAGAAAATCCTACGGGATACTGCTGAAAGCCGATGTCCTTAACTGGCGACTTTCAGCACCGCTGAAAGTTAGCCCAGTTGACGAGCGGCCGAAGTCGAAACTACTGGGACGAATTGATGATGATCGGCTCCATCTCCCCTGAAATTTAGAAACGAAAAGAGAAGTTAGTGAATTTTTTTGGTTGAGTACGCAGGTAAAAGAAGATTTATTTATCTATTTATTCGTAAATTTATTTCTCCATTTATTTATTTATTTATTTATTTATTTATTTATTTATTTATTTATTTATTTATTTATTTATTTATTTATTTATTTATTTATTTATATATTTATTTATTTATTTATTTATTTATTTATTTATTTATTTATTTATTTATTTATTTATTTATTTATTTATTTATTGATTTATTTATTTATTGCGTTATTTAATTTATTTATTTATTTATTTTTTGGTTGAGTACGCAGGTAAAAGAAGATTTATTTATCTATTTATTCGTAAATTTATTTCTCCATTTATTTATTTATTTATTTATTTATTTATATATTTATTTATTTATTTATTTATTTATTTATTTATTTATTTATTTATTTATTTATTTATTTATTTATTTATTTATTTATTGATTTATTTATTTATTGCGTTATTTAATTACATATTTGTTGCATTTGCATTTATTAATGTTAGGTTTTTTATGTTTACATATTTATTTATTTTGTGAATAAAGTCGGTAGCGGTTAGGAATTAAAGAATTGGATTATGGACAGGGACAGGGGAAATAATTACCAGCTCAGGTCGAAGGGTCCTTCAGCCCAGGAAGAGGAGTTGTGGTCTACAGATAGGGAGGGTGCTGTCGCGCACGCGCCACCGCGCGCCTCTATGGGGTTGCCGAGGACACCCCCTTCTCGGCGACAAGACCAACAGCTGGAGGAGCCGGAAGAGCAAGCAAAGACTAATTTGCTAGACTTCGAGGCGATCGGGGCCACAGCTGACCATCTGATGGGAATGGATCCCGCTCAGCGGGCAGTACATTTTCAAGATCCGCCCGTAGATTCCACGGCCAAGTCGGCAGTGAACCTCGCCCTGGCTCAGGCGGCGGAAACATACCGCAATACCCAAGAAGACGGGATCAGCCAGAGCTTGCGGGACGAGATGCGGGCCGGGTTTCTGGAAATGATGAAGCTGATTAATGAAGTTTTGAGACCCGCCACAAAGCAGCAGCACTTACCTGGAGGGATCAAGAGTCAGCAGCAGCAGTCGACAGCAACAGGACAACAACAGCGCCCACAGCAGCCACCACCTCCGTTTGGACGAGCGAGGGAGCCCGTGCACGACGCCCGCGGATCGGTACCCAGGCATGGACAGACGTCCGCCGGTCATGCAACGAGGCCTACGCCACGAGTTCCGCCGAAGCCGCCCAGGAGGGCGCCAGATCCAGCCGAGATCTACTCATTCAGCCCCGACGGTTCCACCGAGGTTGAGGAGACGCGTTGGGGTGGACAGCGTTGGCCGGAACTGGCGTGTCGAGGACCGCCGCGACGGCGGATTCCGTGACGAACGGACGTACGTCAACAGGGATGCAGGAGTCAGTTCCCAGGTCACAAGGGTGGATAGGTGGAACGTCTGGTTCAGCGGTGAGGACGAGCGGAACCACATCGAAGGCTTCCTGTTTCGCTTGGAGTACCTCCAGAGGCAATCGCGTTGCTCATGGGCCGAGTTGTAGGGACTTGGAGTGGTTTTGGATCCACGTTCAGCAGCACCGACTGGACAGCTGGCATCAGCTACGCCGAGCGCTGCTAGATCGGGTCCAGAGCCACGAGACGGAGCATTAGCGGATGCATCAGCTACTGCAGCGGGAGCAGCAACCCGGGGAGAGCGTAGATGATTATCTGCAAGCGATGCAAACCCTTGCTTCTCGCCTGAGGAAGCCGATGCCGGAGCGTCACCTGGTTAAGGTGATGAAAAAAGGGTTAAGAGAAGGGATCGCTCGCTTCATGTATGCGATGGAGCTACTCACTGTGGATGAGCTGCGGCAGGAGAGCCTCGAGGTGGAGGGTACCTTCGGACGTAGAGCTCGGGCCCAATTCCCACCACCAACGCGCTACCAAGGAGCGGAACGGAACCGAGACAGCGAGGCGTTTGCTCCACAGCCAGAGGAGGATGAAGCAAGCAACCACTGCAAGTGCAGGAAGTTCAGGAGCGGCCTCGAAATCCTTTCCGGCCTGGCTGCTGGAATTGTGGAGCCATGAACCACGGTTTTCGGGATTGCGGGCAGGAGCTGAAAAAAGTTTTTTGGTTCCGTTGCGGAAAAGCCGACAACGTTGCTCCGAAGTGCCCGAATTGTATGGGAAACGGACGGCGGGGCGATCCCAGAGCGGAAGGGGCTCGCCCAACGCGGAATTCCGCGCAGTAGGAGACCCTAAAAATAACAAGATAGGCGTTAAGGATAATTCTAAAAATAATTTAAGATACTTAACCTATGAAGAGCGCATGTGACGGTATTTAGAGGCCAGGAACCGAATCTTCGAGGAGCATCAGCTGAGCGGCATGCGTGAGGTCTCCCGGACGGTTCGAAAGGCACGAGATCGGTTCCGGAAACGCCAGCGTAAGCGCCGAGAAGTCGTCGCGGCCGTCAAGCGGGGCGGCACCCAGGATCCCAGACCGTTCGCCCGAGTAACGATCTCAGGCCAGCAGCTGAGACTGGTTTGTTGGACACCGGGGCGAGCGTCAGTCTGCTCGGAAAAGGCTGCAGGGAAACTGGTGGACGCGATGGGTGTGCCGGTGCAGAGGTACTTCTCGGTGGTGCGAACTGCCGCTGGAGAGGATCGGTCGATCATCGGCCGGATAGAGGTACCTGTGGAGTAGAAAACCTTTATTTCTATCTGTGTCCGTATTTGGAACAGGCGGCATACCTCGGCGTCGACTTTTGGCGGGCGTTTGACTGGCTCCGGCCGTAGTTGGAGATATCCCGGTTCAAGGAGTGAAGAAGGCCGAAGAAGTTAATGCCAGGGAGATGGAGCACTACGCTGACCAGGAAGATGACGACAAGAAAAGATCGATCAAACGCATTTCATCTCCAGCGTGGATTTGAAATTTGCGTTCTGGCAGATCGAACTGGACGAGAAGAGCAAGTTGTTGACGGCGTTCACAGTTCCTGGTCGGCCTCTCTACCAATTCAGGGTGATGCCTTTCGGGCTCTGTAATGCGGCACAGAGGCTGGTGAGACTCATGGATCGAGTAATCCCAGCCGAGATCCGATCCAACGTATTTGTATACTTGGACGATCTGGCCCCGGACATCGAGACGCACTTCCGATACCTACGACAAGTCGCCGAATGCCTAAGAGAAGCAGGATTAACTAAATCTAAATTCTGCTTCAAGTCTTTGACTTACTTGGGTTTCGTCGTGGGTGGAGGTCGTCTGAGCATGGATCCCGGTAGAGTGGCGGCAATCAGGAGGATGCCGGAGCCGAGGTCGATGAAGGAGGTGCGCGCGTTTCTGGGAACAGCAGGCTGGTATCGGAGATTCGTTCGAAACTTCGCAACGCTAGCAGCGCCGTTGACTGAATCCCTCAAGAAAATTGGGAACAAGTTTTCATTGAGTCCGGAAGCGCAGCTGGCAGTGGAAGCCTCTAAGATGGCGCTAACCACAGCACCAGTCCTGGTGCACTCCGATTTCAAGCGGCACATTTATATTCAGTGTGACGCATCACACATCGGGGTTGGAGCCGTTCTTTTCCAAAAGAACGAGGACAACCAGGAGCATCCGATAGCATTCTTCTCGGCGAAGATGAACAAGCACCAGGTGAATTACACCGTCACCGAAAAAGAGTGCCTGGCAGCCCTCCTGGCGATCCGGAAGTTCCGACCATACGTGGAAGGCATGCCGTTTACGTGCATCACGGATCACGTTAGCTTGAAGTGGTTGATGTCCATGAAAGATCTGTCGGGACGCCTGGCCAGGTGGTCTCTGCAGCTCCAGGGTTTTAACTTTACAATCGAACACCGAAAAGGTAGCGAGAACGTGGTGGCAGACACGCTTTCGCGATGCGTGGAGGAGATCTCGGTGGACCTGACAGAGTTGCTGGGTTTTGAGACCACCGAATTTGCTGGAAATGAGTACCAGGAGTTAGTCGAAGAGATTCTGGGCATCGAGGATAAGTTACCGGATCTTAGGATTGAGGACGGGCTCATCTTCAAGCGAACCTCCCCGGCAACTTTGGACGACGAGGCGGACGGATCGGCGTGGAAGCTCTGGATACCGCAGAGTCTGACCCACAGCCTGATAGAGCGAGCCCATACGGACCCAAAGGCAGCACACGGCGGAATGGGGAAGACCATGGAGATCCTTCGGAGGCAGTTCTACTGGCCCGGGATGGTGCTGCAGGTTCGGGAATTTGTTCGAAGATGCCAGGGCTGCAAGGAGTCGAAGGCGCCGAATCACCGTATGATGGTCGGAATCGGTGAGCGAGTACAGACTGAGCGGCCATTCCAGAAGCTGTACATCGACTTCCTTGGCAAGTACTCGGGGTCGAAGAAAGGGCATGCCTGGATCTTCATTGTGGTGGACCACTTTTCCAAATACACGTTCTTGAAGGCCATGAAGGAAGCAACAGCCTCAAATGTAGTGGATTTCCTCATAAACGAGGTCTTCTACAAGTTCGGAGTCCCAGAGATCGTGCATTCGGACAATGGACGACAGTTTGTGTCGAAGATTTTCGAGGAGGCCATGGAGAGCTTTGGAATTCGGCACTTAAAAACTCCGATATACTCTCCACAGAGCAACGCAGCGGAGCGAGTGAATCGGAGCGTTCTGGCGGCTATCCGAGGGTTCCTGGAGAACGATTATAGGGAATGGGATGCCTACCTTCCCGAGATCGCAGTGGCCCTCCGGAACGCAGTCCACTCGGCTACGGGCGAAGCACCGTTTCTCACGCTGTTCGGACATCACATGTTCCTGCATGGTTCTAGCTACCGATTGGCCAGGAAGCTGTAGTCTCTGTGCGACCATGAGATGGCCGGTATGCCAACGGCTGACAACTCCGAGTCGTGCAGGAGAAGGTGCGCAAGTGTCTGGAGGCCTCGTACGATCGTTGTCGCCAACGCTATAACCAGAGGGCCAGAGAGTTCGCCGCAACACCAGGCCAGGAGGTGTATCGCCGGAATTTCGTTCTCAGCGACTTCGGAAGGCAATTTAACGCCAAGTTTGCCAAGAAGTTCCTCAAGGCCAGGGTGGTGAGAACGATAGGAAGCAACGCGTACGAGCTCGAGGACATGCAGGGCCGAAAAGATATCCGCGTGTGACCTGGAAGAGGGATCATACAGTACACATGGACCAGACACTGGAGAAAGGGTACTTCACGTAAGACGTGGGCCCCGCGTTGGGCACCGTACGGAACTGCGCTGGAGATACAGATCCAAATGCTCCCAATGATCCTGTCGAGCCGCTGGAAGCCGGGAGCAGCTCCCCATATCCTTGGGTGTTGTTGCATTTCGGGTGGGAACGGGCTGAAGGACTATCGATATATCGATAGGGATAGGGGGAATTGGTAGGACGAGGAGGGGGAGAGGAAAATGAGCGAACCGGTGAAGTTCGAATGCGTCCTAAGAGAAAGGGTTCTAGCTCTTTCCCTCAGCAAGGGCAATGAAAAAGTAACGGCTGGAGTCTGGAACGGAGGAAAGGAACCGGGATATACAGGGAGGTGCGAGCGGAAAAAAACGAGGAGAAAAATCTGGATGTATAACGTGTGTGAGTGATTTTCGAGCGGTTAAAGTCAAAAAGAAAAAACGTGATCCCGGAATCGGGGTGGACGACGTAACCGATCGCCACCCAGTGCCGTTGCCTGAGCCGTCGCCTCAGAGCCACCCAGTGCCGTTTTCCTGGAGCCGTCGCCAGAGCTGCTGGCCACCGCGTCGCTGAATCCGCCGGCCAGAGTGACCGGCGCAACCCAGGTCCGCCGGCCCACGCAAACGTCGGAGCCGTCGCCGCCGCCGCAGCACAGTTCCGCCACCCAGAGTAGCTGGCCGAGCCACTGCAGGAGATTGCCGTCAGCTGCTACCATCCGGTGAGTCCGTTTCGGATGGGACGATAAAAGGGGCGGATTGCCTATTAGTTTCTTCCCAGGCAGCTGCCGCCGACCTGCCGGCAACCCTTAATACCCGGCACCAAACCAGAGCGGGCTGAAATAAAAAAATAAATTTAGTTTGTTATTGTTAGGTGTAAGGTATTAGTGTGTTTGTCTCGCCCTCCGGATTGATCGTATCCTGGGTCCGGGATTGGTGCAACCCATGCGCTGCAACCAATAGGGGAACGGGGAAGAAGCCATTAGTAAGCTCTCATTTTTTTTGAACGCCGACTCTAGGCTATTTCTCATGGAGCTCCAGCAGGGATAGTAGGGGAAAGTGAGGGAAAATTTCTTGTTAGCCAATCGGCCAATTTGTGGCCGAAAAGCTTCTCCTCGAAAAGCTTCTCCAACGTTGGTCCCCAATAAAAGGCAGCCTTGGCGCAAGCGCATCTCTGGCTGAGGCCACGTTCTCGCCGTGGATGAGTTGGCGCCTAAAGTAATATTTGTAAATTTGTTAAATTTAAGATGCAAAACAATAATAATCAATAGTCAGTAAAAGATTTAAATGAAAATGGAGTAAGTTTTACCTGGGGGGAGATGGACCAGTCGCCAGACCGCCTGGAGTAAGCTCCGGCCCGCCGGAGATGGGTGATGCCCCGAAATGTGGAGGAGGCATCACTGGATGGGCGGAATCAGCCAAGCCACAAATTCGACCCAGCAGCTTAATTTCTGTTGTTTGTTTACATTTTTGTAATGTTTAGTGATGACACTTGTAGTTTAGTCCGAGACGTCCGATGAATTCGGTATTTTAAATTGTGCGGACTGCGGGCATTGGGTCGGACCCAGCCCTGGGCACCCTGAGCTAGATCGGCGTTGCCCAAGGAAAGGCAGTTCCGTTACAATAATATAATATGGAAAATTGCAATCCTGTTAAATTTCCTCTGCCAACTAAACTGAATCATATTGCTCTTAGCTCAGATGATAAGTGTGATGTCCCACTTCGAAACATAATAGGATATTTAATGTATATTATTTTATTTATTTTTTTTTTTTTTTTACTTTTGTGTATAATTTCTTTATTTCCTCCAAGAATGTACTATTTATAAATACAAATGTGATTATAAAATATGTATATGTTGCAGACATTTAAATACCATTTTGATTTAGATCGTAAACCTGTATTACAAAGTTTTGTATAAAATAATTGCATATATGTACATATAAAGGTACATACATAAGGGCATTATTTTTAATAAAAAAGTTTTATTCACAGACATTTATAAAAGAAATAAATACACATCGACATGTATTTAAATATTCTTCTCTTTTGGCAAAAATATGGGTTATATACATTTTTTGAATAACTTACGTCCCTATGATTTCCTTACATCGAAGATGTTGTGTTTACAGCGATTTGGTTTTGTTTTGATCAGTTTCTAAACTAAAAACTAGGCAAAAATAAATGATAAAGAACCCAAGACGCTTCGTTGATAACTAACTAGATAGTTGTGTGTAGGTACATTGAAAGCTTTAAGAAACGAAAACAACAAACAATAAGTTTCGAGGAGTGCCCCAGATTAGCGCACGGTCTTCAGCTTCCAGCCCAGGAAGAGGTACGCCGACACCCTCAGCACCACGAAGATCACGATCAGGGCCACAATGTCCAGCGTAAAGTTCGTTATGTACAAGACCTGATTGACGTACCGTTAATTTTTATGTCGTTATTGTGAAAAGAATAACACAGAATTTTGGCAATGCCTGAAGAAAGTTTTAAGGTACTTAAAAGGTACAGTTGATTTAAAGTTATCTTTTCATAAAAACTCAAATTTTAATGAGTTTTTGGTCGGCTATGTGGATTCGGATTGGGGTGGCAGTGAATCAGATAGAAAAAGTACTATTGAGTACATATTTAAAATGTTTGATTCCAATGTAATTTGTTGGAACACAATGAAGCTAAATTCAGTAGCAACATCATCAACAGAGGCAGAATATATGGCCTTATTTGAGGCAGTTAGAGAAGCCAAGTGGCTAAATTGGATGAAGATAGCCAAGGATGTATAAGTATTGCCAATAAACCCTTATGTCATAAACGTTCCCAGCACATTGATATAAAATATCATTTTACAAGAGAACAGGTTGATAAGAACCTAATTGAAATTGTTTATATTCCCACAGGTAAACAAATCGCAGATATGTTGACTAAATCATTACCAGCGCAACGTTTTTGTGATCTGCGTGATCAAATGAATTTAATAAACTGAACAAAGGACTGAAATGGAATGAAATGGATCTCATTAAAAATCGAGTGGCTGTCTCAACTTTAAGTTTAAAAAAATTTTTTTTTATATTATTTTTAATGATTTGAAATGAAATTGTATAACGTAAATTATAATTTGTACAGTCTGATTGGGTTTTTGTGGGTTTTCCCCAATCATTGCAACAAATGTTGGAATGAAATTGTACTACTCCAACTATAGCATATACTGACACTTTTTCTTATGTAAACTATAAAGAATATATATATATATATATTATTTTTGAGCAGGTGTGTGGAAATGTCATTTTATTGAAAGCACAAATAGTATATATATATATATCGAATATCGATAGTTTTGGCATTTTTGTATTATGCAGCCTTACTATTTTTTAATAATTTTTTTGTTCTCTTCCTGATTGGTTCCTTACTAAATAAACACGTGTGTCAGCTATAAAATTAAATATCCGCAACAAAGTGTTTTTTTTAATTATTACTACTGGACATATATAAAAACGATAAGTCAGGACAGACCAAGAGGAATGCCAACGAGTAATATCTGTGTTTCATTGCCTGGAGGCTCTGCAGGGTGATCTATTATCTAAGGATTTTCTACAGTTGGGATACCAACGAGAATCAAAGCAGATCATGGCAGAAGTTTTACTGAATCAGTTTTCAAAGATTTTTTAATCAGCAAAAAATACAATTACACTTGATTGGAACGAGGGTTACACGATTCATTGGGCAAGTGGAAAGTGATGAAAATTAAGAAGATTCTAACAATATAAGAGAAAATGCCAAGGAAAATATCGACAAAAATTCTCATTATGAAAAAAATATATATATTCGGTAGGAATGTAAAGTTCGAGTTATAAAGTAGTCGACTATGTTTTGCTTAAAAATGTAGAGATGGATTAGATCAAATTGAATAATAAGTTAAAAGGCTCGTTTTAAGTGTCAGAGACACTTGAAGGTGTTTTAAAATCATTTTCCAATAAACGAGCTTAAAAGAACATGAGGCGTTTAGAAAAATGCTATGAGAGAGTAGAAGATAAAGATGTCTTATTAATAGGTTCCCATAAAATGAGTGACGTTGAAAGAGAAATCGAAAACGGGTTGAAGGTTTCTAACTAAGATGTGCCATTGATAGACTTCAATGTGACCCTTTGCGTGTTATGTAAAATTCCAAATAGTCGCTGAGTACCTCAGAGGTTTGTTGGTGGTAGATGAGCATGAAGTCTTTTGGAATCGGCTTAAATTAACTCTTAAATAATTTGTAAAAAAATATATAAAAAAA